TTGTTGCCCTAAAAATATTTTTTTTTGGGGGGGGGGGGTAAACATGCCAGAAGCCCTAATCATAATTACTATATGACAGTATCTTGCATTGAAATGCCTGGAAATGTACATAAGAAACTGGAATGATCATAATAGGAGGAAAGACAGGCATGATGTTTTCAGCTTTTTTATGGAAGATACCCCCAAATCTCTTTAGCTATGCATGATAGATAGCAATTCAGAGGAAATCTCCCCAATAGGGGCAATGATCGCTATAAAAGGTTTACAGTGGTTTTAACTCTTCCCTAAAACTAGTAAATAAGTTTGGTGGCGATTTGAGACTTTCTGTGCATGTGCAGGAAAAGCAGGACATGGCCAGGGGATTCTGCAGCAGTGGCTGTGCAGGGGTGAACTCTGAGGAGCAAAGATAGGTGAGTACTTGGGGAGCCTAGGAATCTGTGAAGACTTGGAGGTCTTGTTGGGGAAGAGGGTTAAATTTAAAGGATAACTATAATTAAAGCAGATATGCCCAGAAATAGCAAGGTCCACTTATTTAGCGTGGCTCCCTACCCCTAGCTAAAACACTCCAATAAACTAGGGGTTAAAAAATAATATAATATACTTGCCTTGCCCTCAGTTTCCGCCCACAATGTCTAGGTGAGGGTGATTTCATTATCCTTCTATCGGCCTCTGGGAATGTTATACAGTGAGGAGATCCTGCACAGTGCTGTGGCAGATTCTCATACTTGGTATTCACTAGGCTCTTATTGGCAGGATGATGATGTCACCCCCTGCACTACAGCTGTTGGAGGTATATTATCCAACTTTCCTTCCCACAGGTGTTATTTTTTCAACTTTAATGTGGCATTTAGCAAGGAGAGTGGGGCCTCACTAAAACAGCAGACCTTGTATGTAGTGCAAAGTTTGCTTTAAAGTACAGTTATCCTTTAAGTTAACATTACATTTAAAAATGATCAAAATATAAAGACTTGTAAGCAGCTGAAGATCTATGCACATTTTGTATACACTTGTAAAAGCAAAACTCTTGCTTACTAATATTCCCTATTATTCAGTGGGGCTGCCCATCACAATTAAGAACCAAGGCTTAGGAGGTAGGCGGTCTATACATAGCTGGATCTATTGATGGCTTTGGCAGTTTTTACTGAAGGTAACTATTGCCTATGCATATTTTCTTTAAGTGGTGTACTTGACTTGGCCAAGCTGAAATTGAATGTTTCCAGTTCTAGGAAACATGTCTGGCAGTGCATCAGTCCGATACTGCAGTAGTAGTACTGCATAATAAGGGCATGAATGTTCCCACTTCTGTCTGATAACGCCTTTGTGAAGTTGCCCTTAAAATGTATTTTCACCTTTGTAGTCAAATTTGGGAAACCGCCAAATTATATATTTTTCCCACATCTAAATAAAA